AGAAAAGAAAAAGACGTGCATAATCTCCATACTGCCATCTATCCATATACCAAGTTTCATTAAAATATTTTCAGTACTTTTTGTGTTTTCGCGGGATCCAGTGTTGTGGACGGACGGACTGACGGACGGACAGACAGACGGACAGACGGACGGAGGGTAAACCTAAAGTCCCCTCCGGTAGACCGGTAGGGGACTAATAAATAAAGGCTTTATGGGCAAAATAGTGTAAAATCTACTTTTAGCATCCGTGATCTGAACCCAACTGACCCTTAACTTCATTCAAATGATGAATACCATGTTAGTCATCTTCCTACCAAATATGAAATACATTTGTCAATAACTACGTACATGCTGTATGGGCAAAAGTGTAAAAACCTATTTTTAGCATTGGAGACCTTGACCCAACTGACCCCAAACTCCACCCAAAGGAAAACACACCAATGTTATGTTCCTACCAAATATAATAAAAACATCTGTCAATAGAATATGGTCAACACACCTGTAAAAGTGTAAAATTCAATTTTTGACATTGGTGACCTTGGTCCAAATGATCCCTTACTAAACCCAAAGGAAGAGGACCTTCCTTATCAGTTAGTATTAAACGTGAAAGACATCAACTTGCAAATTAAGGCTGTATAAGCAAAAATGTAAAAATTTGCTTTTTACACCAGTGATTTGACCCTAGAGGCCCCTTCACAAAAAATTAGCGGACCATTTGAGGTATCCTCCTATCAAACTTGAAAGATACCATTAAATAAATGAAATAATTAGGAGAATTTAAGATAAAACTTGCCGGAATAGGTTAACCATACAATACCCTATGTTCAAAGTGATAAAAAGGGAAATAACTGGGAAAATGAATGACACAGCTATATAACTTGGCAACATCATGTACTTTGTATTGATAAGTAGGTGTGGTAATAATGAAGCCATAAGTAAAGACAAAACTTTAGATACATACATGTTTACACTACAATTCTTCCATAGTAACAGATGTTGCATTTCGCGCATGCGCATTCTGCGTAGGGCAATAACATTGACTACGGTTTAGGATCATTTAAGGCTTTGGCGTGATTTCATGTTATGTCAACCAGAAAACAGTAGTTTTGGAATGACATAAAGCGGTTAGTACTTAAAACGTGAATTGATATTCATAACAGATATACGAAAATATGCGGGACATCTAATTCAATGGTCAAAATGCGCATACAAAAGTCGTGTATATAAGGTATCATTAGACGACTTTTTCATCCGTGATTTAAATTTAAACAAAAGGGTGTTAAAGATAAATTTAGAGATTAAGTTTAATAACACCTGTATTACATAATATAACACAATTTGTATTGTACACTTCCTTTGGATTGGCCAGGCGGTAAGAGTCAAACAGATGGACTCGCGACGGGTTGTTTGTTTAGTATCATTCAACCGGGACGTTTTAGAACTATGACATAGTTAATCATGTACAATTATGAAAATCGTAATTTAAGTAACTTTTACATATACCGATCTCATCTATGTTTATTGATTTGTGAAGTGACAATAGAGCATTGAAAAAAATTAACATGTGTTACGAGGAACCGGATATAATGTGTGTTATTTCACTTCCCACTACCAATCTTCTCTCAATATTTGTTTTAAAAAAACTATTTATTTATCTAAAATACATGTAAATTTATGTGACTTAAACATTTTCTGTTTTGCATCACAGTCAAATCAGATTAAGGATGAAATCAGGTAAACTGAAAATGCATTATATCACATTTTCTGACTTTTTTCAGAATGATAATTAACCTTGATTTCATATGTTATAAAATTACTTTTTTCTTCTTTTTTTGTGAACTATTTCAACAACAATTTAGTTAGTTCTTTATTTGCTTAAACATGTAGCTATATTTCCACGTTTTCTTTAAAAAATCTTAATGTCAGGTTCGTGACCGTAAGGTGGAATTCTTAAACAATTACCTTTTCCGTGCCTTTTTATGGCAATCTTTGCCACAAAAACTATAAAGAAATCTTTTCTATTTTTGTTAAAAGCTTTTTTATATAATTTTCTACCTTTTACCTTAAATTTACTTGGAATTGTCTATGAACTTCTACTATATTTCTATGTAAGGCCATGCTTTTTTTGCCCTACGCAGATTGCCCATGCGCGCGAAAGTACTACTTCCGGTCGATTTTTCATAGCAACGTATCGCGTCGTAAAAAGGTCTATGCCCAACTTGCCGGTTTAGGTTAACCAATTATTCATTTTGAAAGTGCTGAAAAGGGCAATTACTTTGTAAAAAGGTAGGCCATAGCTTTGCTCAGATTATGTTCTTTGTAATGATTAGTCAGTGAGTTTGTTTGCACTGTGGACGTCTTCCGTTATCCTCAATTTACTACATTTCATGCATGAAATAGTTGAGTAAACTTTTACAGTTGCCAGTAACGCGGTATCCAAAAGGCTATTACAATATGATAAAGTTGCTAGATAATATTGGGAGAAAAAAAATGAGTTACACATGTACGCGAACTTTTATACAAATTCGAGAATGATTATGTTTGGATAAGTAAAAAAAGAGAGACCATAATATGTTTTATCTTCTTTAAAACAACGTATTGCCGACTGTTTGGGACAAAACTGGTCTGACGACATCCATTCCTCAACGAGATGTGACACATATACTACATTTAAAAATTTATTGAACGATGAACATGGGTTTGCCTTTTCCTTTTAGGAAATCACTGGCGCTTTTCATATGTTCAAATCATAGGCTAAACATGGAAATTGGGCGACATGATAGTATTGAGGGATCAGATTAGAAGGATCTTACACCGACTGCCTTGAGCTAGATATTCCTGTCTGTGATGACAGCCAGTCTTTGGTCCTTTTTCTTGCATATTACGCATAAATGATATTTGAATAAATATAACGAAAAAATAATTTTATATGTAGCACAATTTTTAAGGTGCGTTAAAATGACGTCATATAAATCACGCGATTTGACTAACATGGGAGTATAAGACAGGTTTTTCTTGCACCGGTGTAAACGGTAATCCTGTCTGATATGCAAGAATATAAGAATCTTACACCGGCTGCCGGTCCAGACCGGAATATCTAGCTCGAGGGTAATTGTTTACGGTGTTTACGGCTGTTGTAATGACAGCCGAGGTTAGTTTTTTTTTCTTCCACATTACATATTTATGATATTATGTTAAGAAATAACGAAACTAATATTTTAAATTAAAACTTTTTCTTAAAGTAGCTGATGAATTTACAACTTCATTCATTATGGCATAATGACGTCATCCTACGAACGCAATTCAATCATAAAAGGCGCATGGAAATGACGTCAATTAAAACACGTGACTTGTCTTACATGGGGGTGTAAGACAGATTTTTCTAGTACCAGTGTAAGCAGTAGATAATCCTGTCTGATATGCAAGAAAGAATAGTGTAATATCCAGGTATTATGTGACGCTTATGTGACTTTTCCTGTTTTATGGAAAGTAAATTATTTATTGTAATATTCAATGTTAAATTTCATTTAAAGTCTTGATTTTTCGAAGGAAATTTAGCCATTTTGTCTGGTTAAATTTAGATAGCTTATACCCGGTTTTGGTAGATAATTTTGTACCCGTTTTTGGTAGATAGTTTTCTACCAGTTTTTGGTAGAGATTTTCTACCAGTTTTTGGCATCGACCATTTTTGGGTAGCTACTATTCTACCAATTCTGGGTCGGTTCTACCAATTCTTGGTATTTTACCCATTTTGGTCATTTGTACCTCTGCCTAGTATAAAAGCAGCAGATTCTTGGTCTCAAGGAAGTTCAGATTTAGAAATTCTTGGTAGTAGGCGTACGTTAATTTGTCTGCTAAAATCTTAAGTTTAATATTAAATTTAAGTAACTAACAAGTCAAGTTTATTAAAATACTAGAATTATATCTAGTTGAGTTAAATACAGAGCTTAGATATTTTTATACAACCGATATTAGATCTAGAATTTTATATAACTTTTACATAACTGATAGAGATTTTTACTACACTGTTTATTGAAGTAAATCTGGTAACTATTGTTACCGCGGAGTACAACTGATACACGTAACACGGAGATTTTTGGTTCATCAGTACTAAATATTATTTTGAAGGTGTAGCGGTACTTAATTATTGTAAGGTGATTTGTGAGCTGTTTTGAGTTATTAAGACAGCCGTTTGCTGATATAAATTATTCATGATTGTTTATCAATTATTGTTATTAGAAATATAAACTTGTTGAATAAATTTTATAACTGTTTACAACGATGTTGCCTGATTACTATCAGATGAGTTGGAGATCTACACATCACATCAGTTCTGTACCTGATTGTATTAATACCTTGAAAGCCTGAGTACCAATAAACAGTTAGAGTACAGGGTATCCAGCATACTTAAGAGTCCCCGACCGTAACAATATGTCCATACTACTTTATTAAAAGTAAACGATAAGCTACAGAAAATGAATATCATACCTTTTATTTGGTCCAAATTTAAAAGTATAAGACAACAATATCTGTTTAACCTTTTCCCTCATATAGACGTGTTTTGACGGCTTTCCCCCCCCCCCATTTTTGAGGCCTCAAACAGTGAAAAAAATGCCCTATTTAGGCCCAAAACACTATTTTTTGCTTTGTGCCCCCTTCTGTTTGGGGGGTTTGAAGTGGGTGGCAGTCCCCCTCATCGCCAAGAAAATTTTGGACATGTGACAGGCTTAAAATGGCCTCAGATCATGTCATTATAAGTAATATGGTTTACCCAAAAAGTTTAATTTTCTTTCTTCAGTTCAAAAGATACAGAGCGGACACGAAAGTTTGAAACTGATAATGACTTATTGTCCCATGACCTTGGTCATTATACGCCGAAATTTTTTCGGGCCTAAAAAGAACAAGACTCTTAGTCACCTATCCATTTGAATAATCCTCGTATACAGTGATAAATCAAGTTTGGATATCATTGTTAAGATTTATTAGATAATATTACTAACCTCTCTTCATTAACCGCAAAACACCGAAGTCTTTTCATCAGTTTTTCAACACATTCAATGACAGTCTGCAATAAACAAATGAAGAAATTTAGCAAAATGCTGATGCAAACAACTGTTTACTTAAGTTCAAATGAAACACGAGTGCATTTGTGAGATAAAATGCTATACAACACAAAATAGTTGGAACAGAAGAAAAACCTTTTTGTTTCTAAACAATTGAACTTTGCCACAATGCAGTAGTGTCTGGTAAATTTGGGGGTCGAGGTATTATTTCAGAATGTCAAATGAAAGACAATGTGCAGGTGTGTTTAATGTTCAGACACAAAGGCCATAGTTTAAAATTGATTCATTATAAAGTATTCTTACTCGATAAAATTTTAGGTATTTACTGTACCATATGGCAGCATTAAATATTGAAATAAAGTACAGTTATTTTTCTTAAAAAACTATCTTTTCAATTAACCATCACCTATTTCTGAAAAAATAAAAAAAATTAACGATTTATAATCATCATTATATACATGAATCATAATGTTAAACGTTTCATAAATATTTCTGAAAAGCAAACCTCTCTTGCTATGACCTTTAGACTAACTCCCAGCTATTGATATTTTTTTTTTTCTAACAAAAATGCTTATTCCAGTATGAGTTGATTCCCTTTCATTATTTAACTATGAATTAAAGAAAAGCTATGGACTCTTGGGACAGGGCCAATTTTGACCCAAAAGCTTTAATTTGAATAATCTTAAAAGATGACAAAGTTTTTTGCTAAATATCTAAGCTCTTAAAAAACAAGTAACAGAAAGAGCATCGAAACACGAGGCTATCTGATTAATACGAGGGGGCGTAGTCTCCGAGTATAAATCAGATTGCCTCGTGTTTCGATGTTCTGTCTCTTTTGTATCATAGTCAATCATAAAAACACGTTCCCTGATACCACAATATGAAACCCCGGATAAAAGTAACCAATGAACGAGCATCTAAATATGACATTTCTGTCGCTTTCACTTTCTCTGCCGTCACAATAAGTAAACCCCAGCAAAAATGAGCCAATCAATGGGCATGCTCTGGAGTGCGGGTAACTAATACATGCACTCCAGTTAACGCACGGTGCATGTATATATGTATACGATTTAACTCGGACACATTTTCAACAGAACTATGATACAATTTATTGTTGAAACACACAATCTACGCTTTACCGGCTGTTTGTGGCGAAAAATATATTGATTTAATGTATTCAAAGAAATTAACTCAATTATTGTGCAGAGACGAAAATAAAATGACAAGTTATAAGATTCAAATTCTAACTATAGCACTGTTTTCTTTCCAGTTCTTGCTAGTGTTCTATACATACTCTTTTAACCATTATAAAGTACTCAGACTTACAAGACAATGCATCTATGTTGTAGGCTTTATAGCTCTAGAGAAGACAGTTTTTTGTTTTGATTTTTTTATTCCTTTCGGCTGTCATGACTCCGTTATATCCCCATCAACCATTTTACAGGGATATATTGCTTATCTAATGTATTAAAAACATGGCAACAAGCAAAGAAATTTGAACATATATAGTAACAATTTAAACTATTTTCTGCATATTTTGAACATTTCCATCACGATAGGGTATACATAATTTACCTTTTCTTCTCCATTTACATCAAATGTCGACGTTAGACCCCCAGTAATTTGGTTTGAATCTTTGATATAATAACAGATTGTCGCACAGCATACATCAACAGGAAACACATCCTCTGCGATTATTTCCCTTAACTCAAATGGTTTTAAACAAGCCGCTATTGTTCGAGGCAGGTAAAAATCTACTTCAAACAATGGTTGAAGGATTTTCAAAACATCTCTTAGATTGCTTAAATAATAGAATATAGCAGGTAAAAATAAATAACAATTTGTGATTGCAATGCAATCTACGCTACATGTATTTCTAATCCGATATACTGTCACCCCTACTTTTTTTATTTGTTTGGCAAGTTCAGTTCAACAAATTTTGGTAAATTATTTACTTTTTCTAAAAGCAAACAAATAGAAAGGTTTAAACAAAACTTTAAAGATAAAATAAAGAACTACAATTACCGTAGTTGTTTATTTTATTGCTATTTTCAATTTTTACAGGTAGGTATAGTTACACTTGTGTTTTTTTGGTCCAAGTATGCTCATTGTCCAAATTTAATTGCTGTACATCAAAAGACAAGAAAGTAGGTCAATTCTTCAAAATCTATGTCAACTGATATCGAAGTTCCATTTTACATCTAAAACTGTGCACATGGTCAAAATTTCATAGAGTCTAAAACTATCCACATGGTCCAAATTTCATAGTTGTACATCAAAAAGCAATAAAGTAGGTCACTTCGTCAAATTATCTAGGTTAGCTGATATCAAAGTTTAAAGGTAAGTCACTTTATCAAAATCTAGGTCAGCTAATATCAAATTTCAATTTTACATCTAAAACTTTGCACAAGGTCCGATCTCATTTGACCTTTACGGTCAATAATTATCTATTAAAATGTCAAGGTCACATCTGAATTATTCAAAATGTTTGTTTGGTAGAAAGTCTTGTTTTGTCCAAGCATAAACCAAATTCGTACATAATTAAAACGAATTTGACAATTTAACCCAAATTCAATAATTTGACATTTACGGTCAATGCCAATTAAAGGTCAAGGTCACATTTGAATTATTCAATATGTTTGTTTGGTAGAAAGTTTTGTTTTATCCAAGCATAAATCAAATCTGTACAAAATTAAATAAATTTGACAATTTAACCAAAATTCAACAATTTGACTTTGACGGTCCAGGTCATTTAAAGTTCAAGGTCTAGGTCAGTCCAACTTTTTAGAAGATCAGATTATAATGTTGTTGTATCCAAGTATGAAGATAAACCATTGTTTAACTAGAAGATTTTTGTCACAAAAACATATGTCTCTCTAAACTATGTAGGGTCACTCATGTGAAGTTTCATCGATATCACACCAATAGCCTGACCTGTGAAAGCCGGACAAGATTTTTTCTATTTCTATTTAACCCGGCAACGGGAACGCCAACATGACTGTAACAACAGATTTCTTTCATTTTTTTATTATTAAAAAGCTGAGCAAAAATATATTTATTTCAGTCAATATGTGTCTGTTTTGTTTGTTTTATTGTTAATTTGGATAATAAAATTAGATTATAAGAAAATAATTATAATTTTAACTTCAATTTAATAAACAAAAATTTTCATTTTAAAGTTTTTTTAGTTTAAGGAGAATTCAATCGGAATTCCTAACACTACTAAAATATTCAGCACATATTTCTTAAAATATGAAAAACTTGATCAACAAGGAAGGGCGGGGTTCAAATAATGCAACCCCCCACACGACACAGCAACACAGGACCACCGGCAAGGAGCCCAGCAAGATCCAAATAAAAACAGGACAGGGCACAAGGCAAAGCACGGACGGGGTTGAATTGGCTCTATCTTTTATAAAACATGTTAGTTGTTTTGGTATTGTACAGTACTTAAAATGTACTTAAACTAAATGGTGAAACGCAATCAGTTAAATGTATGCTTACAATTTCCAATTGTGACCATCTTGTTTAAAGGCAGTTACTGTTTTCTCGATTTTGGCAATTCCCCACCATTTTGGCACATAATCCGCATGATTCCATTCAGTTGTTGGTTCATCAAATGGATTACACAAACCTTCTAAGAAATGAAGAAGTGGCATACCGTATAGCCAATATGGATTCTTTCCAAATGTATTCACCTTTTCAAGAAACTTTTGTAATGATTGGACCAGTGGCCTGAAAACACAAAGTAAAATATAAGATATGATATTAAGACACAATTAAGGTAAGCACAAATGTGACAAATGAAAGTGTAGTCCGACTTACTTTTTTTCTGGGAAGTATTTCAGTACATCGCTTAGTTCAATGCATGTTTTGTTGTGTGCATCCCCTTTTACCAGCAAACATTTACAAGTTCTTTGCCAATTGGTTTCATCAAGTGGAATATCAACTTCACCACAAACCAAAACAATGCAGATGGCACGCACTACTCGTATTTGAAGACTAGTCGATGCTGTGTTTCCACGAATAAGGGATTCAACCATTGGAGTTAGTATCCATGTCACAAACTATTAAAGAACGAAATTAACTGACATCCTTTAAAAATCGATATGTTACGCGCGTGTCATAACTAAATAAAAGATACTGAATAAATAGCTACCAATCACTAAAGCTTCAAATTTACTTAGTGCCCGTTTTGTACATAGTGTAAGAAGCAATTTAAGGTTTAATGTAACACATTCTTAAGTTTTTATTACAAGCAAATATCCGAACATAACTATTAACGTTTCATATAGTTCAGAGGAAAAAAATATTGAAATAACATTAACGAAATACTATTACGTCGGCATTGTTTATTCAAGCTCGGTGATTAGTGAATTTATGGTCGGAAATGTTTTTGGACTGACAGAAACACTTAACATTTTGATCTGGTACTCAAAAATTGCCAACTGTGTATACAATTTTTTGAACATTTTAATAAAAATTTGCTTTGCTCTTACGCTTTTTCCATACTCCTTTTCATCTGGAAACAATCGATTATCAACGTAATATGCTTTTCGAAGTCCATTGTACAAACATATTAGTTGGTGCACTGATTCTATGGGCGTAGTTGTGGTTTCTGTCTCACTGAAAGTAGATCTGAACCACGCCGGACAAAAGTGTTCTGCATACATTGATGCATGAAACGAATGACTCCTTTCGTGACGTCCAAAAATCAAGTTAAAACCCCTTTTAATGATGTTTTCATTCAGTTTCAATGTCACATATCCGTCATATTGATGCCATTGGTCTGTAAATGTATAATAATAGTACGATTTGTAATGACACTGCATGTACCGATAAATGAGAAGTTACATCCCTTATTTGAGAATAGTTTATATGTATATGTACCAATATTTTGCATGTAGCTTTTCCTAAAATATAACTGGAATTTCTACATTTGGAGCTTAATATTAAAAACATAATTTCATTGTTCAATAATCAGTTTTCTCTTAAATTGGCAACTTGTTATCAAAATCAATCTTATTATTAGTCAAGAAGCATGAAGAAAGAATCTTTGTATTCGGACAAATTAACTTCAACTTCTTGACAAAAAAGAATGTAATTAACTATAACTTGCCTTTATTTGCTAGCAGTTCTCTATTTATGTATAACCTTCTGTTATTAAACGTATCGCTAGAATCGCTAGAGCAATAATCTTCCCAGTCAAAAAAGTGTTTCTGTTCCCCATGACTGCATACAGCATATTTATATCTTACCGGATTCCCAAGTGTAAGCAAATATCTCGATATTTTCATTGCAATTTTCATTTCCACGTACTCACTGTTTTCACTAAAATAACAGCATAAATTATGTTAAAAGTATCATGAAAACAAACATCTTATGCACGCAAGCTGATATCGTAGAATGTGTGTGTTGTGTGTAGCTACAAGTGAGAATACTGTTTTTGAAGTTCACGATATGTAATACAAATTACATCTTACACAACAAAGAAATACATTTTCTTTTTATTTGTTGCTTTAAATAAGTTTTAATGAAATTTCTTCAATATATACTTGAATATTAAAATTTGTTTTCCCCACTGGTAGCCTCAATTTTAGACGATTTTCTCATAAATACAAGTTTAGAGCGGAACATTTGATAATTTTGCATCTATTATAAGGAAGAAAACTTATTTGTGGATTGTTACGAACATATATTAATTGTTGACATATGTGTGTACATTCAAGAAGCGACTATAAATTTGGAAAACATGGAATCTTTTGAAAGGTTGTTTTACGAACGCTGGGTTATTTACTTATCCTTCAGGCAGATGACTGTCGTTGCTTTTACACAGATTTTACAGATATTGCTCGTAGAATACTTAGATATGCCCAAATGTTATCAAGAGCAGTTTTGCATGATGAAAGAAGAGTAATGATAAGAATGTTATAAACAAAATCAAAATGTAGAGAAGAATCATTAGAGACGCATTTGGTGATCGGTAAAATGAATGAAGTAAATTTCATTTTTTATGACGTTTCAAATTTAAGTTATTTATGAATTTTAGATTTGCTTCGCTTTAAACAAAATATGATAAACAAAATCAACAAGGAAAGGCGGCGTTCAATGAACGCAACCCCCACATGACCCAGCAACAAGAACCAATGACTTAAGGAGCCCAGGCGGACCCCAAACAAACCCTGGATATATTGGACTTATCTAAGCATAAATAAAAAAAGGTACCACTTGCGGAAAATCTTTAAAAGTAGTCTTATATTTTGATTATTTTTACTGTGAAATCAAATATAGTTTTCAAGGATAAATCAGTAACCCACTGAAAAGCATAAAATAAAATGTATTTTGTTACATGTTGGTGATTGTAGGCTAACTAACATAATCCTGCCTCAATTATTAAATTTCATTTCTCATATTCGAGTTTGTTACATTAGTAAGTTTTATTTAACAGCAATTAAATTCACCCATTTTAAATCCAATTCGATGGCCTCTTAATTGATAAGATTTCCATATAGAAACGTGTTTCATCTTTTAAGAATGATTGAGTATTGCACACATAGAAAAAAAGAAGTAATGCAGATTCCAAACGTTCTTAACACTTTTAAAGTTAGCCCGTTGCGTTACTTTTTAAATAAGTACTTATTGACACAAGTGTTATTCTATAGAAATGATTTTTAACAATTCATTTAATCTTTGACATTTATTTTGCTATACGCTTATATAACTTATTTCTATTATTATTTTAATTAGTAAACTCTCGTACTTCCACTGACTGTTATGGTCGCCATATAAAAACATATTTCCTTGTTTAAATAGTAATCATATATGAAAGGTTTGTTTTATGTTTTATTGCTACTGTTGACTTTTTTAGGACATTTTTTTTCTTTTATCAGCTTTAAACAATGTTCGGTTTGACATTAAGGTACCTGACAACTTGTAACACGTTTTGTCTACTTTTCCAGCCTCCGAATTCATGCATGCTTGTCATAAGTAACATTTTTCTGTTCCCCTCGACTAAGCTATGTGGAACAAGAATATGGAAGATCACAGTTACTACATTGGATCCTGGTGCATCGTTTCTAGAAGATAAATCAATATGTTAAATATTTAAAGAAACAACAGCAAAAACAACATTTAATATTGCAAAATAAATCAGTGGGAAATAGAATTGAATATTTATAATCATCAAATACTTGATTGCATTCCATATTTAGGCACTACTTCAATTTAGCCACCCTCTCGGGTAGTTAAAAACCTGCATGAATTTAAGCAAATGCAGAAAAAAATAACATCCTCAACAAAATTTGTACTCATGGACATTTCAAACGTCCTAAATACTGGACCTGTGACTGTTTATTATACTGAGGTCTGGACATGATTAAAGGCTATGCTAGCGTTGCATATACAAACAGAATTAAATCTATGTAAAAGAACTTATTTAATAAAAAGGTTACATGGTTACAAAAAAGGGAGGTCGGTAACCCTCAACTCTATTCACAGAGATGCTTTATATCATATTATAGGATCAAATAAAATAAATTCTATAATACTGTTTTTATTCTCCTTGATAACTAAATGCCACCAAAGCGTATGTCTTTTAAGCTAATTGTGAAGGATAAACGAAACATTCAAATTGAGTCGTAATTAAAATCAAAGAATGGAAGTTCATTGTAAACATTACATGTGGAAATTAATTGAATACTACTTGTTGAATTCTAAAGTTGTGTATACGACTCGTACTTGCTATTCTAATGTAATTCCCGCAAAGAAAGCCTAGTTTATATTTTTGTTACTACATGTATTAGTGCAAAACTGTAAACAAAGATAAACATGTTTTTCTTTTAAATCTATGATACATTTTGTTTTACAAAAATCAAAAACATTAACTGAAAGTATAATCATTTAAAAAAATTTGTTATTAATTTTGGAATTTGTAAAAAACCCTCTCGCAGGGGTGTGTGTAAAAAATTTAATTTTAGCAAATTAAAAATATTAAAAATTTTTATTACAATGCAAATTTCTTGATAAAATCACAAGTAAATTTTTTTCCAATTTCAAAAGCAAGAGGGCCCAAATTTTATTCAAAAATTTAAAAATTTTTTAATTTTCCTTTTCAAAAAACCAAATTTTTGAAAAGGGGAAAACAGTTTGGGGGCTCAAAAAAGTTAATTTAATTAATTTGGGTTTTTTTCAAAAAATTTTAAGTAATTTAAAATTTTTTGCATCATGGTCACATTTCCCCTTTTTGGGAAATGTTCCCCTTTTTTTTTCAGGTTTTGGGTTTTCACCATTTTTGGGGTTCCCCGAAATTAAATTAAAAAAGGAAACCTTTTTAAATTTTTTACCCGATCAATATTTTATAAAACATGTATATACCATAAACCCTTTAGACCTACTCTGACTTATTAAAGAAGAGAAAGGAGAGAAAGACTACGGACTATAATAATAAACAAACTCTTTCATTTACATGACGGGTCTGTAAATTTTGTTTTGAGATTGGTGCTTGAAACCATTTGAAATAATCCTGAACCAATAACTCGTGTACAGACAGTCAGATCATTTGCTTAATCCTTTTTTGTCTAGAAAAACTATTTCATTTTAATTCATGCAAAATTACATAAAATAAGAAATAATGTCTAAAGAAAATAAACCTTATCATTCTTTTTAAATTTCTCTTCCTCGTCCATTGTCCGTTCCCCCTCTAAACCATTTGCTTCTTTCGAGATATTGTGTTCATTTTCTTTTAAAGATACCTGGTTTTCTTTCATGGGATGGTTGTCATTATTTCTGTCCATTTTTCTGTATTGTTTTTTCCGGGTGAAAAAAAACCTAAATTTTTTTGTCTTGTAATTTTCCTAAAATAAATTTTTTACACTTTTGAAAAAAAAATGGACTCTTTGGGTCTGGTGGGGAAAATTCCTTTGGGGGTCTTATTTAAATTCCCGTCCTTATCACCCTTTTCCCCTCGCAAAAAAAAAATCTTTTCTTTTTTCAGGGATGAAACTGGGTGGGTTTTTTCAAACAAACTCTTTATGGTTTTTTTTTGGATTTTTTCTCATTTTCTTTTTTTGTTTTTATCTTTTTTCTTTCCCAAACGTTCAACATCCCTTTTGTCACTCTTTTTCTTGCATCAAATTTTATTTTTATGTTCTCGTTTTTTGTTCCGTTTTGCTTTAGAGCCTCCGCCTTTATTTCTACACAAACGTTTCTCTCTTCGTTTGGATACAAAAAGCGATGTTTCATTTGACGTTAATTTTTCTTCTTCTGCGCTTTCTATTTCAGAATCACTCTCGGATTCATGTTCTTTGACGTTTTCGTCGCATGCTAGTGGTGTCATTGCTTGAGGATCCGGCGAAAACTCATTTCCCGACAAAGTCTCTGATTCTGTGAAAATAAAACAAATTATTTTTAAAACAACCACATCCATTAATGTTGGTATTTCAGGCATTATGCAATTCATGATACATATTGTGATTTAGGCATAAAAGTGTTATGTGCAAGATTTTACCTCCTCCTTTAATGTATAATCCTGTCATGTCATGTATTTTTGGAAACTTATTTTGATCATATTTTGAATATGTTAAGTAAGATTTTTATCATTTCTTGTTATAGTAGTGAAAATTTGACATGATTTAAAAAAAAAAAACGTTTGAAAATAAAATTCAAAGCAAAGTACATATAAACATTTCATGAAGTATCTGCTCAAGAACCAAAGAAAGGAACACAGACTATGTTACAGACACGTTAAGTTCTTTAAATGTTTACCTTTAATTTGTGCTGATTCATTTTTCTTATTTTCATGTCCCTTTTGGGTTTTGTTCGTTTCCTTTTACATTCATAGGGTGTATCAGGGGGGAGGTCGTTTTTTACATAGGCTGACTCTTTTTGTCTGTTTGGAAGGGCAGTTTTTTCTCCCAACTTGGTTTTTTAAAGAATTTTCGAATATTGGGTTTAACCTTTCAGTTTTTGCAAAAGAAATTTTATAGTAGAAAAGTTTTTGTAAATTTTGCCGTTTTTTCTTTCCACAATTTTCTTTTATTGATAGATGATCCCCTCCCGGGGACGTTTTTCCCCGGGTTTATCTGTTTTTAAAAAACAGGAATTAAGGACAAATTTAAAAAGAAAGAAGTATTGTCATTATTGATGTACAGTGATTTGCCAAATTTTTAAACGGTCTACTTAAAACTGTTGCTGAAGATAGTTGATATTTTATCCTTTTGTTTATTATTTTTATTCTGAATTATAATTTCATAAGTTTCGTTATCATTTTTGTCATTTTATACTCAAACGTCAAGTTTGGCCTGTGGCCTATGATTTCTGTCAGAAACATTTAGTAATGCGGAAAATCAAATTAAAATATCATCAATTAGTAAGCATTTAGACAGCTAATATATAAATGCCTAAAAATGCAATCCTTCAATACTCTATTTCAAACTGATTTGGTACCTCCAGTTCCTGTTTTTTCAACTTTCTTGCCGAAATTTGCTTTTGACAAAACTGCATCATGAATCAATATTGGTTCACACACTTGAGCATCTTCCCTTTGTTCAGTATAACCTGGTTTGGATTCTACATCATACATACCAGTATGTGCACTAGTTTTACCTTCAGGATCATTTCTTTCAGTTTGTTCACTCACAGTTCCACTTAAAGTTCTCGATATCTTATCGTCATTTGAAACAGGAATGCCTTCATGTTTGTCATTTATTTCAGCAACAATTGGGCCTTCTTTTTCATTACTTTGTGCAAGTACATTATTTCTCTCAAAGGTCGACTCATCTTGTTTGGCACGTTTTACTAATTCTTTTTCTGTTTGGTTTCCTATAAACGTCAGAAAGATTAATAATGTAAGAGTGCAAATATCATTTGGGAAAATTGAAAAATGAATTTTCAAAACGACAAGTTCTTTAACAGTATTTTTTCTAGTTCCTTAAAAATGTCTTCGCAGAAAATACTTGCAAAAATTTTAGCTGAAATATGTGCTTACATTTATTTGTGAAACTTCGTTTCAAAGATGCAGTGGTAATGGACATCAATTTGATTTAATTTTTCAACTTAATACACACTGTAATATACCGGTAACACTTTTTTGGCCTAACTGTTGTTAATTCCGTATTATTATAACAAATTTGCTTTACCTTTTGTTTCTTCTATTTCACCTGTCCCAGTTTTGTTATCATTTGAGGCATCTACATCATCAATCGGAATGAATGGACTCTTTTGATTAGTTTCACCCTCTTCATAAGATGTTGATTTCAATTCTAAATCATTACCATCAGTAGGTTTACAAGTTTCCGCTTCAAACTGACTGTTTTCTGTCTGTTCTCTTACACTTTCATTTCTCGTTATTTCATCATTGTTTGTAAGTAGTTTACCTTCAAGTCTGTCACTTATTTCCTCAACTGTAGAGCACGCCTTGTCATCACTTGGTGAAAGTGTAGTATCAACGGTTGATGCTTCTTGGTCAGCACTTCTTACAGTTTCTTTTTCTGTTTTAGCGTCTGATATAATAACATTACAAATGCAACAGTCATAAAAACAATGATGACGATGATGACATTAATAGTAATATCATCAATACTAAAATAGCATAAAAATGAGATGTCGCAATGTCATCGCTATCTCGAACAGTATATTATTAAACCTCTTGCAAATTCCTATATAAAATATCAATCTTCATCATCATTACAATCATAGTTATTTAGAAATGTTTAACCTATGTTATAGCTTTAATAAATTCATTTTAGGCTATTAGGCTAGATGTCATTAGATTGCATACAAATTTTAATTTGAAAAGGCATTTACCTTTGGATGCTTCTTTCTTTAAGCCACATTCAGCGCAAAATAAACTTCCCGGCTCTAGAATAGTTTCACATCTCTCGCATTTTTCTGACAGAAGTTTAAAAAGACTTTTGTCAATTCGAGTTCCACATTTAGTACAAAAGTTTTGTGTCTGTTTCCAGTCTGCACCGCATGGTTGACCTTCGAATGTCCCATTACATTTAATCAACACTTCTGCAGGTATGTCTATCATTTTACTGCCACATGACTGACAGAAGTTACCGTTACCCTGCCAGCCACAATTTGAATTGGAACATCTCATATTATGTTCTGTAAGAAAATATAAGCTTTTAACAATGAATGTTTGTTTCTACCAAGGTACTATAAGTTTTTAATTCAATTCGTCGGACATTTCTTGCATGGATCCAGAGAGATAGCTTAGTGGTTTTAGCATGCTAAAGCTAATGAAAGTCTGCATAATTTGACTCATATTTCCCTCTGAAAAGTAGAAAAATGTCATCCCCTACCCTTTGAAATGTGCATTTTCCCCTGTCGAAACTTTGCCTCTGGTAAAAAAACTCTTGGAACTGTGCCTGCATTGTAAGAGTATTTGGGCTTTTATATTGAATGTCAATTTTCCCTCACTATTAAAGGCAGATTACTTAAATGAATATAGCTGTACCAAAAAGTATACACAATTAAAAAATGTACAGGCTGTTAGGTAAAAAAATGTGTACATCCATAAATTGATTATAGGCATTATATATAATATTTGTCATAAAATTCAATTTAAATCATAAGGTAAATTATAGCTATAAAAGTATTCAACAGAATACAGTAACGGATCTTAGTCTAACAAAAAGAAAGTGAAACTGTAACGTATCTCCGAGCGGGCTATTGATTATAAGACAACTAAACTGAGATGATATTTCACCTAATATTTATAATTATAATTTTCTTTATGGTTACCTTACCATTTATTGATTGGACAAAGAAATCATTACTGATTACATGATGATCAACTGAATCAATGGAACAAGTTATGTAGTAAAAGAACAATTGGTGACACGCAAACAATGTTTACAACTTATATTCATCCAACATCATAGAAGCTGGACTTCTATATCTGTTGATGATCGCCTAACTGACTGGTGAAGCTCAAATAATACAATATATACAACTTATGTACATCCAATACCAGAGAAGCTGAGGTTCTATGTTACAATGGACGTTTTTCATTAGTCGACGTTCAGCGACTAGAGCAGTTATGTCCTTACTTACGCGGAAAGCTCGCGTGGGCGATAACATGTATGAGGTGTATAAGTTAGATTAAAATCACATTAAAAGCACTAAAAGGGCCATGACTCTGTCTTGAAGTGTAGTGACGGTTCCAATAAAGTTTTGTTGAATTCCTGTGAGTAGTTGCAGAGAAATAGCGTAGAAACGATTATTGCTCTATATGCATAATGAATATCTTATCAAGGGTCGGACCGGAACAAGGCGATTATATGCGCATCTCCTGTTGGTATTGATGGTTCCCATAAAGTTTTATTGAATTCCTGTCAGTAGTTGCAGAGAAATAGCACGGACAGATTATTGCTCTAAATAGTAGTAGAAAAGCAGTGTGTACACCATTATTACTCTATATGCATAATGCATAACTAATCAAGGGTCATAACTCTGTGATGAAGGGTCTGACTATAACAAGGCAACAATATGTGCACTTCCTCTTGGTATTGATGGTTCCCATAAAGTTATATTGAATTCCTGCCAATAGTTGCTGAGAAATAGCACGGAAACGATTTTTGCCTTATATGCATAATGCATAACTAATCAAGGGCCATAACTCTGTGTTGAAGGGTCGGACCGAAACAAGGCGAGGACATGCGCATCTCATCTTGATATTGATGGTACCCATAAGGTTTCATTGAAATCAAGCTAGTTGTTGCAGAGAAGTAGCACGGAAACGATTATTGCTCTATACGCTTACTGGATAACTAATCAAGGGCCATAACTCTGTTCTGCAGGATTTAACCGGAACAAGGCGACTATATGCCCTCTCTTGGTATTGCTGGTTCCCATAAAGTTTCATTGAATTCCTGCCTGTAGTTGCAAAAAAGTAGCGCGGAAACGATTATTGCTCTATATGCATACTGCATAACTAATCAAGGACCATAACTCTGTGTCGAAGGGTCGGGCCGAAACAACGCATCTCCTCTTGGTATTGATGGTTCCCATAAAGTTTCATTGAATTCAAGCCAGTAGTTGCAGAGAAGTAGCGCGGAAACGATGGTTGCTCTATATGCATACTACATAACTAATCAAGAGCCATAACTCTGTGTTGGATGGCCGGACCAGAACAAGGCAACGATATGCGCATCTCCTCTTAGTATTGAAGGTTCTCGTAAAGTTCCATTGAATTACTGCCAGTGGTTGCAAAGAAGAAGCGCGTTAACGATTATTGCTCTTTATGCATAATAAAAAGCCAAAGTTCTGTATTTTATGGTCGGACCAGAACAAGACGACAATATGCGCATCTCCTCTTGGTATTGATGGTTCCCATAAAGTTTCATTGAATTCAAGCCAGTAGTTGCAGAGAAGTAGCGCGGAAACGATTATTGCTCTTTATGCATCCTGCATAACTAATCAAGGGCCATAACTCTGTGCTGAAGGGTCGGACCAAAACAAGGCAACGATATGCACATCTCCTCTTGGTTTTGATGGTTCCCATAAAGTTTCATTGAATTCCTGCCAGTGGTTGCAAAGGAGTAGCGCGGAAACGATTATTGCTCTATATGCATAATCAAGGGCCTTAGCTCAGTGTTAAAAGGTCGGACCAGAACATGGCGACGACATGCGCATCTCCTCTTGGTATTGATGGTTCTCATAAAGTTTTGTTGAATTCCAGCCAGTAGTTGCAGTGAACTAGCACGGAAACGAAATTCGGACGGACGGATTGACTAACGTTCTAACGGGACAGTAACGCTGTGGCTACTCTATATTGTTCTCTCTTTTGTTCTTGTAGCCGCACAAAAGAAAATAGCCACATAAAAGCATTACGGAATAAATGACACCAATGAGAAAGAAAAGTTACCTATTGTCCCTCTAGCCACATTATTACTGCCCCGTTAGAGCGGAAGGACGGACGGACAACGCGTAAACTAAATCCCCCTCCCGATGCCATCGGCGGGGGATATAAACCCTTCGTTAGCAGGGCGCCGCCATTTCGAAAATCTTGGACTGGTTCTATATTTGAGCTATATCTAGAAATAACATGATGCTTTTGAAAAAGACCCTTCGCGGATACAGTAACGCTACAAACATTTAACAATACCTAACTTACCAATTATATAATAAACAATTGTTGTCCAGAAAGGTAGTTTCAGTTCAAGAGACGTAATTCTTGTATCACTATACAAGCGTATTCGTTTATGAATGAATTCGTCAAGACATTATCTATATCTCAAATATAATAACGACGCGTCCTTTAAAATGATGACCGCTCGCGGATAAAATTCGAAAAAAAAATACTAGAAACTACTAAGTGTTTGTGTTTGGCCTTTATAAAAAAAAGAAGACATATTATTGAATGTTTTACTGACATGCATTGTCTATTTCAAAGTGTCTTTTTTTATCAAAATAAAAGTGTATTATATCACACAATCCATGTGCAGCCATCGGCTGTACCCCTGCCCCACTCCCAAAACACAAGACCATCCCCACTTCCGCCCTGCCAAGCGCGTAGCTGCCTATACGCGAGTACGCAGCTGAATCCACATTATTTTGACCAAAAAAAAAATTATCATTAACGAGTTTGCGGCCAGCAAAGGCCGCAAGTTAGACTTGCTCTGAAATGTAGACTAGTTGAAATAAACGAAAGTAAAGCTTTTCATCTCCATTTTTGTGCTAAAATAAATGGATTTTCGTTGGTCAAGAAAGCTCTCCGGAGGCCCCAAAACGCACCAAATTGCACCATTTATTTCAAAATGTTCAGGGGGCATGCCCCCATGACCCCCCTAGATTATTTTGAATCCACATTCTTTATAGGCTAGCTACGCGCCTGCCTGCCACCTTCAAATACCATTAAATAATGTATAACTGTCGTGTATATTTCTTACATTATGACGTCAGACTTAGTAACGGGGAAAACCTACTTTCATTTTGACGCGAAGTCAACTACGAACGGATCGAATAAAGATGTGTGAATTGGTACAATTAAATGATATAATCTTAAAATGTAAATACAAGCGAATTGTAGGTATCAGACTGCATGTAAAATTATTTTGAAGGTCAACCTGTATAAAGCTATGTCTTTTTAAAAGGTTGCCTAAAGGTTAAAAAAAAGGTATGTTTCCTAAACAAAAGCGTCTGCTAAGTGCAACGATTTTGCAGCATTAAAATAATAGATGCAATTATTGTATTACTTAGTTATTACTAGCTATAATGTAGCATATTTATTTACACAGCCAATTATAGTATGTATGTAAACAGTAACATTAAAAAAAGTTTCTATATATGTCATTCATTTTGCTATTTAAAAAAAACCTGCCTCGGAACGGCCCTGATACGGTATAAAATGTACGTATTTTCGAAAAATCTCAAAACGAAAGTAGACATAATACTGTTATAAGATATGGAATTGTGCCAGCATATTAGACAACATTTTCAGAAAATAATAAAGTCGTTGTTATCAACAAACAGAAGAGTTTTATTGTATACACATAAATTTACGACCATAAAGTTGTCTTCATTCCACACATAAAAGATTTATAGAATTGTTATCACAAGCATAAATAGTATTATACCCTTTTGATCAATATACATTGTATATAAAACAAGAAGAAAGAAACTGAAAACTGTCCAAACCCTGACGTTTTAAGTATTTTGCTGTATAAACATATCTCTATGTCTCTATTCATTTCAATATAAATCCATTTACGTTCCACATTTTGTTCAAGATATCATTGTTAGATAGATAACTAGTTCTGTTGTGGTGAATAATATATCTATTTTATCTTCTTGTAAGAAAAATAATAATTACCTTAAAAAGGCTAAATTCATTAAAATGGTCGATATTACCATGCCAATTTAATTGTGCACAACTTACGTAATACATGACATAGCCTGGAGTTTACTAATCAATATAAAATATTATATTACTTCACGCAACATAAATACACTATAACATTTAATATTTTTATCACATTTGAAAATAACAGTTATATATCAGCTTACCATTTATTCCGTTTTCTTCATTTTGACAGAAACAAAAGTGGGAATTCCCTGTGAAAATTCCTCTCAGCGCGTATATTATGTAACCTGATATCTTAGCACAGCGTTATCAGTAGTGTAGATAAAGTGCACTACAAAGAGCGCTGCGGAGTTCTGTCGTCTGCAGTTTTCTTATATGAATTGTTACACTTGTGCCATCTTTTTTCTATATTGTAAATATTATCATTTTGAAATTTATATATGTATAAATAGTTAGTGCACCCGACTTCCTTAATTTTATATATAAATCCGTGGTTGAACAAATAGTAACATGAGAAGCTTAATATTTATTTATACAACGCCGTTACGGAGTTAAACGCCAAAATACGCATTTCAGTTATTTCAATCTACGTATATATACTGGTATCTTGTTAATATTTACTTCACTTTAGCGTTACTGTTTTTTTTTTAATTATTACAATGTGATGTACTCTTATAAGTTGGTATATACCTATAAAATATATATAAACGATGTTTTTAAGCCTCTTCCAAATAAAATATTACTATAACATTTATTAATTTTATTTACAATAACTTCCTTAAATAATTGCAAGTAGCTGTTTGTTGGCTAAGGAAAGTGTTTATTTTTTTGCTCACCTGACCCGAAAATGGTCAGGGAGGTATAAGGGGTTTT